TCGCAATGGCTCTCATATTCATTGCAAGTTAATTCATACACCCGAATTCATTGGCTCTTATTTCTAGCATAATTCATAGTACTAACTATGTATAATTATAATATACATACCTCATCAGAAACTGACTCATTCTTCGAAACATCATTAATAGGGTTGGAACTTGATAATATATATAATGTGTCTCGAGTACAAATGCTCAGTACCTGGGGAGCATCCCAGACAAAAGCCTTTGTTGTTTTTGGGATGTGCAACTTTTTGGTACCAGGCATTATGCTGTTATTCAAAAATAAACAAGATTTACCTTGTCTACTGTGTCTAGTAGCAAAAATATTTTTTCAGTTCTCATATGTATCATATTTGAAGATAACAATAAACAAAATAAGCGCATAAATCATCAAAATGGATTTGTTAAAGTGTTTTGGTTGGCTTTTGAGAAACAAAATTTAGATTATTGATGTGGTTCACTCTCCTTCTAGATTAAAATACTAACCTCAGGTAGCTGTAATTAAGTCCATCTGCTGCAAAACAGTCTTTGAAAAGACTGCATATTTCATCCTGAATGTCTTCTGCTGACATGGAATATTCGATGTTAATTTTTCAAACGAGGCCATGCTCAGTTAGGTTAGCCCTTGCCTCTCTCCTTGGTATTGAAAGAGGTTTAGAAGTACCATCCTGCACGGGAACCAAGCAAACGATGTTTTTGGTGTATATCTTACTATTTTTAGGTGATTTAGTGTCATTTCTTTTGGATTTTTTCGGTGGGGGCCTCAATCTTGGAGTAGGCTGAAAAGCAGACGGCAAAGGTGGCGCTAAATGCTGAGGTGTGCTCGTATTGGTGTTCTCCTGCAATCATGACATTTACGACTTTATACTATGAAACGCAACACAATATTCACTACTGACGATGATAGCCTATGTGTGGAGTATTAATTTAGGAGGAGCCGATAGGCAAAAATTCGTACAAGAACAGTTGTTTGGAAGAACAGACCCCGTCGGCTCCTCTTGTTAATTTTACAAGACAATTTTTTGCGAAACTAAGCTAGTAGTTAGTAGCAATAAAACTTTATATCTCATTGGCAAAAAATCAAATGAGGATGTCATGTCTATTAATTTTGTGGGTTTTTTTTGCAGCTATGTGGGGTAGTTTCGTCGTAATTCGACATTTTCTTGTAAAAAGCGTACACTACCCTGCTCCCAGAGGTTTCTTTTCTCTTCTTTTATAGATGTTTTTTATCGTATTTTTGACTTTGTTTTTTAGATTTAACGACGCAAGAAGTATTAAATTTTAAAAACAAAGACAATTTAACGACGCAAGAAGTATTAAATTTAAAAAACAAAGACAAAAATACGATAAAAAACATCTATAAAAGAAGAGAAAAGAAAACCTCTGGGACCAGGGTA